ACACACACACACACACACACACACACACACCTCTCACCATCTGTGCTTTCTGTATGAACTCTGTTGTCGCCAAGTTCCCATCAAGAACAGTGCACACAGTAGACTAAACAAATGCAGCTTCATGATTTGCACCAGAAGCAACCAATCCTCCTGATTCACTGATGAAGCTACCTGCTCCCAAAGTCTTCTGATAGTTTAACTACTGTACAGTTAGAGTCTGGTCATATTCTTTATTTTCTGCTTATGCTGGTCTGGATCCTTTCATAGGATTTGTGTACAATAAGAAAATAAGACACCAGCTGTATATTTTACTGAGTAATAAACACCATGTGAGTACAATATAAACTGCGTGTTTTAAAGAGCCCGTCTACAAGACGTGGAATTATTAAAACGTATTAAACACTCTTCAGTTCATCTGTATACTCTTAGTATTCAGAAAGTGCCATCATGACATTTCTAGGAATAACTCGATGCTGCAACCTGCAGAAGAAACAAGTAAAGAGCGAATCAAAATCACAACTTGACACAGGAATCGCTGTCTGTGTCTGAATCAGTTTACAGGTAACGTCACGTTCATCTCCAAGTGGCAGTAAACACAGATTAGTAGTAAATGCAGGAGGTATAACAGGCAGCCTGCAGCCGTCATAATAAAGTATTCCCATCGTGTCGATCACAGATTCTGATGTGTCACTAGAGAAACCCTGAACCGGAGGAGAGCAGCCCCCTCTTTCATCTCTTTATCCTCTTTTATTTCAGGAATCCAATCCCTGGAAATGTCACTTGACTCCAGGTCGGACGTCTTACATGTTTGTCTTTCGTCCTCGCTTTTGTGAGATTAACTTGCTCCGGCAGATAATACGAAGCTGCTGATTCAGAACCGGGGCGATAGCTGCCAGGCAACCGGGGGGGGGCTGTGTTTTTTTTGTTTTTTTGTGGAGCTGGCGAGGCCGGCGTGTCGGCGATGCCGAGGCGACCACACGCACGCAGCTGTGGTGAAGGCCTGGCATTCAGCTCCGGCCTCCTTTAATCAGCCTCTCCACCGTCGGGGATCTGCTGCAGCGATCTGTGTTTGCCGTCACTAATGAGTTGACTAATGAGGCAGTTAGTGTCCGCTGGACTAATGGTGAGGCGGCGACGCATTGAGAGGGTGAATGATGGGTCAGTTTGGGGCCTGCTGGGGCCCTTCTTATCAGCCCTGCCCAAACGTCCATCCTTCAACCCCCCCCATCCTCCAGACACAGCTCTCCATGTGCTCATTGAATGCAGCCCAGCGGCTTCATTACAGGCTGGGACGGGGTCAGACAGATAAAGAGCTCTGCGGCGGCTCGGCCCTCTGCTCCGCCGCGGTCGGGCTGCAGGGTGACGGCGGCCGTCTGTCACCGGCTGATAACGGAGCAAATCCAGGGCTTCTGGTTCACTCTCATCCAGATCCCCAATAATGGGCCTTAATGCCTCACTGCGGCGGAATAAATCCACCTTCTGGCACAGATTAGCAGGGAAAGTTTGACTGCGCTCATTGTCTGGTGGCTGATTGTTGTTATTGTTGTGTTTTCCTGCTCTCGTCAAACTCAAAGGTCAGACAGCTGATGACACAAAGCTTTGAAATGATAGTCGAGGATTCTTTACTTGATCCGTCTGGTTTGATCATTTAATTTATGCTTAATCAACCTTTTTTAATCATTGAAGTTGTTTATCAAGCAACAAATAGCTGGTTTTAGCTCCTCAAATGTGAGAATTTGGTCGCACAGAACGATATTTTCAGGACGTCGGCTTACACTCTGGCTTTGGCTTTTTGACATTTTATAGACTGAACGATTAATCCATCAATAAAGGAATCAACAGGTTAATAATGATACTTGTTTGAGATAAGAAATACTTAACTGTTGTTTATTGTTTCACTCTCTACTGGAGAGAAAGGGTAGAACATATTCATACAATCGTTTATCAATATCTTTTATGCAGTTATTTTTCTGGAAATCAAATTTAGGAGATCCAGTAAGTTAAATAACAAATCTTCACAACATTCATGGAAAAAATTCCACAATTAACATAAAGTAGTTCTTCTCTTCTTACAGTATTGTCCTTGGGGCTCTAATTCATTGTTGTCGATGTAGACGTGCAGCAGGCATGCTAGCAATAGTTCACACTTATGCACCGTGCGCCACATGCCATGTGACGAGGAACAACCAATCACAGCCGGCAGACATCTCGTCTTCATTCCGGTAATACCAGTGTACAGTAAATAAATGGAGGAGAATATTATGTCTTTAGTGCCGGACCACCCGGAGCTCCACGATGTGTCCCATGGAATATTTAATATATATTTAATACTTGCTTCACTCTTTCTTTCCAACGACGTCACAACATCCAGCAGCTACTGTTTCCAATTATCTTTGTTTAGTTTAGACAGCGAGGCTCACTGCTTAAATACCACAACGTCATCATCATCGTCATCGTCATCATCATCGCAGCGCGCACATTGTGGTTGCTTAATAACGGCACGAGTAGAGAGGTGTTACGTTTCCCCAAATCTCTGCAGGTGGACAAATCTCATTCAATCCCACTCACAGTGTGTTTTAGTCCCAGTGGTACCACTCAGCCATCCGACCCACATCCAGTCAGGTCACCAGCGTTTGGGTGCCTGGTGTTGTAGGAAAGCCTGAGATAAGAAGAGAGCAGGAGGTGGTCAGAGGCGTGATAAGGCTGAACACTCTATTCTATTCCCCGTTATCTGCTGTGTAATGTCCTGCAGGACGCCACAAAAGATCCATTTGCATCACAAGGGACACGTTGTGTACCGTGGACACTAAACCCACCAGAGGGAGGAGGACGGGAGATGTTTCAGGACTCGTTGAGAGGGAGCGTTGGGCCCGTGGTGTTGCTGCTTGCAGCTTTCTGGAGAACCGAGAACTCAAAGGACTTCTCACTGAAGCTTAGTTTATACTCGCCGTAGTGAAGCCGGCGAGCGCCAGGAAGTGATGGGGATTAAACAAAGAAGGCCAGTTAGTTTTTAGATGCTTTAGAAAGAGAAGGTCTTAAAAATCTACATTTGAGTGAATATTTAGGAGCCAAATCATTTCTCTTTGCAACACTGATGGTATCAGCAGCAGCAGCTAATATGTAGGTGTGTAAGAGTGTAAGGCCAAACATCTCTGGAGATGTGTCTCTCTCTGTGTTCATGTACGGCACAGACCTTCCTGTTACACAAAGCAAAGCTGACACCAGCGCAGCTTTCTAAATGCTCTTACACATCACGAGATGGAGCAGGTAGTTGTTGCACAGAAAGTTGTCCTTCCCCAGAAAACAGTCCTCTGGCACCGTGTCCTTTATGTGTTCTCTGTATTCTACGGAGAAGCACTCATGCTCGTCCGTGTCTGTTCTCTCGTAGCCCTCACCTGAGCTTCAACAACCTGACCCTCGTCTCAACACACGGTTTTCCCGGCAACTACGACTTCGAGGACGTCGGATTTCTGTCCACAAGGTGAGTGAATGTAACAATCAACACATGAAATGTTTTTGGCATCTTACGTTAAATAACTTCTGAGATGAAACTCAAAACGTCACGAGAACATTCCACAAACATTAAACCTTTATGTGTCATTAGACTCAAGTCTTCACAACTACGTTAACTTAATACTTTAAAGGGACAGTACTGATGTTCAGTAGTGTGTGTGTATGAGGTTCTCCTCCACAGTCAGGGTTCTACTGCAGGAGATGAGTTCATAGAACAGACAGGAGAACCAGCACGGGAGCAAAGTAATGTTCTGCTGTGGACGTATTTTAAAGAGTCTCTCAGTTTAAGTGAGCGCTGTATTTAGAATGTCTTCTCCTCTTTACCTTGCTGTCAGACACTGAAGCTGTTCTCTGTGATCTCTACAAACACACCAGACTCCATTCATAGAACTCTACCTCTCAGAGCACAGGAGCTGCTGTCTACTGCTCCTCCATCTGTTACTGAGTTTGTGTTGTTGTGAGACTTTAGTGTTTAAAAGGTTTAGTTTGGATTCACAAAACTCACCAAGTAACACAACCTAATGAACGGATGGAGGCAGCAGTAGAGCAGAAACTTTCTGCTTCAAAAGTGAATGTTTTTGTCACAGGAGTCCCGTGGCTTTGAAGAGATCATAGATAACAGCTTCAGTTCAGTACATATAAAGGAATAATCACAGTGAAGCACACAGCTTATCAATGAAACACTGGTATCAGATCAGTACTCAGTGTCAGGACTCAAAAGGGTTTAACCGATGCATCGCTAACAAAGTGCCTCACACAACGCCACGTCAAACTGTCCCTTTAAGAGGCTTCTTCTCTTCCTGCAGTCATGCATACAGCAGCAGAGACTTGGCCCAGCTCCCCCTGCGTTCATGCGTCACCGAGGTGACGGGGAAGATGGTGGGCATCAACAGGAAGTCCAAACACGTGCTGGTGTCCGGCGGCGTGCAGGTGCCCTACGACCACCTCGTCCTCTGCACGGGCCTGCAGTACCAGGTGAGACGATGAGACCCTCGCTTTACGTCTTCTCATCTGAACATCAGCGTCAGGAGGTCTTAAGAATCTACATTTGAGTAAATATTTTGCAGCCAAATCAAATAGTGTACAAGATATTCAGCCTCTGTTTCTTTATAACACATTTAATACTTGACTAAAGGTAATAAAGTCGTTTATGAATATGAGTTTACAGATAATTACAATCCCTCGTCGTCGAGGTTCACGTTACGGCGTCAAGCACCAGTTTTAAACTTTTAACTACAGCGGCAGCGAGCGCCATCTTAACTTTGACAGTTCAGACTCATTCAGCTTCTTATCAAATAAATTCTACATCAGACAAACTACACCGTCTGTTAGCTTTGAGGCAAAGTTGTGATTTTGTAACAATACATTTAAAATCCACTTGACTTTTAAGCCTAATCAATGTTTAGATGTGGTGGAATGTAACCGAGTACATACGTGTAGTATCAGTGTTCACCGGTACTGTTACATGACATGCAGCTCGTTATCACGATGTCCATCTTTCACGTCTTGTTTAAAAGATTTTAGACCGTAGCTTCATTTTTCTGCCAAAGCGACAAACTCACAAACAAAACACTGTTTGTTTGTGAAACTATGAGTCATCCCGTTCATCGCTCCTCTCCAGTACGACTTATCTTCTATGATTCATCATCTCTGAGCTGTTTTAATGGTTTTAACGGCCACTTTCTGAAATGTACATTATGAGTCAAATTAGATGAGATCATTCTGTGTCATGTGATGATGTAGGCTCCCGGTCCTACTGGTGTGGATCTGAACCAGTCCAGATCCAGATCCAGCGGGCCCGTCCCCTCCAACCTCTTCACCCTCAACGATCTCTACGACTGCGCGGCTGCTCGCCGCTGGCTGTGTGCCAACTTTGTGGAGCTGGAGGGTAAAGTGAAACACACACACACACACACACAGAGAGAAGCTAAAATGAATCTGTAGTAACATGTCATTACTCAGCCAGTCAGCACTCAAGTGCCCCAGTGTAATTAGCGGCTAATTAGCTGCAGAGAAATCTTTCATCTCTGGGAAATCAGGTCGGCCTCTTCCATCCATTTTCCATTATCGTATCGCTCTCTGAGAGCCGCGGCTTTTCAGAGCGGCAGAAATACACAACACAGCGTCATTAAGCAGAATGAACCCGCTCTCTGAAGGAATCGTGCAGCGATGTAGAGCGAGGGCTTTTTCATACACACTAATTAGTTGATCCCAGTCATAAAGGAAAACCATTAATACATGCAAATTTTCCTTGCAGGCTCCAGCAGACAGATACCATGAGTATTTCCATATTTTAATAATGATGATAATATCAGAGAGCGAATGTAAATATTAGCATTAGACGTCGCTGTTCTGTCTCAGACGGAGCTTTAAAGGATATTCTTATTACTGACAACAAACACAAGTCTAGAGTCTCTCAGCTTTAAACTAACACTTTGATCTTTAAAGTGACCGCAATGAGAACAGTGATAGCAAATGGAAATAAACATTTCATAAAAAACGTAACGAGGAATGAATCCCCCAAAGGTCCGTGTTTTGTTAAGGTGCAAGGCCTTTAATATAGAGGCTACATGATTAGAAACAAGACCAGTTTGTATTGACCACACATCCGTCAACCTCGAGACCCTGATGAAAGATAAATGGTTTTTATGTCCACATAATAAAAAAAGGCAATGAATTCTGAAAAAAACTGTCTCAGCGTACTGCTTGTTTTTTCTCGAGGAATTCATTCAAGCAGGCTTCCTTGGGCGGTTCTAGGGCGGGATATAGATTTATTGATGAGGAGCTTTGTGTTCCGTCAGCCTTGATGGTTCGGAAGCAGCAGAGCTCCTCTGGTTCAGCACCAAGGACAGAGACACCGGACAACAGCAGCCAGGACACGTAACAATACTACATTACAAGTAAAAGTCCTGCTTTTAAAGTACTTAATAAAAGGAAATGAAAGTTTCTGCAAAGATTATAGGAGGAAATGTCTCTGCTGACAAATCACAGACATCTAACAAGACGCTTCAACTACACTGCAGTTTTATATTATAAGAGTTCTCAAAGCCAAAGAGGTCGAGGCTGCTTTTAATTACATTCAAACATTTCAGATTTGTTTTGAACTGAAGAAATTGCTGCATTAGAGTCCGTTCAGATGGCACATTTGCCTGTGCCCTCAAATCCATCGTTGTCAAAGTAAAACGCACGGAAGTCGAGCTTGAATGTGAGAGTGACGCTGTCGTAGTTTGCAAACGTTCCCAAGCGTCTTACAGCTGCTAACAGCTCCTTCCTCTCTAGACGATGCCATCGTCTACGGAAGCGGCCTCGACGTCTTCACCGCCGTGGAGACTTTGCTGAGCCTCGGCGTCCGGGGGAGTCGTATCCATCTGGTCCTCCCGCCCCCCGAGGCCAATGCCTCCTGCTTCGGCGACCCCGTCGTGGAGAAAGCTGTGGCGACGGCCCTGGAAAAGGCCGAGGTCCAGGTCCACCGCGACCGCCTGCTGGCCCAGATGAACGACGGAGGACATCCAGACCCACTCACATCTGTGTCCTTCACCTCTGACGCAGAGCCCCTCCTTCTGCAGTGTGGAGTGAGTCCAAGTTGGACTTGTTCACACAGTCTGTTATTAGCGTTTACAAAAGAAGATGTTCTCCAAACAATGGTGTGAATTCACCAGCTTGTGGCTGTTCGTTTGGTTTAATTTTCCCTCCTGGAAGCAGACTGTGTTTGTCAAGCTCAAGATGATTTTGGTGTGTTTCCCATCCTCATTGTTTCAGACAGTAGAGGGTTCGCCCATCTGGTTATGTGCTCGGCACACAGGAGATGTGAGGCCTTATTTTCTCTATATTCTACAATAAGTGCTGTCAAACCATGGCGGCACCATGGGCTACTTTAAACTCTTCTAATCATTTACATATAGATATATATATATATATATATATATATATATA